ATGTATGTATCTCAAAATAGCTATAGATGCGTATAAAAGTATTTTCCTTAATAGTATTATTACGCGATTACTTTTAATATTTTAATATTTGGAAGGTATTTAAATTGCTACATAATCATTCCAAATAAATTAGATTCTACCAAAAAATCGTATTTTGATTAAGAACAAGAAAGTATGGATGTTAATTCAGGACCTCTTTTAGATAAAGGAGTAACTTATGTCACACATTACATTTTTAAGGGATTATTTTATAGTCTATGCAATAGCTCTATGGTTCTTTACCATAACAAAAAGTTTTATAGTGACTCAACATTTAAAAAAATCGATCGATAGATATCAATGTTTTTTTCGCAAACAGAATGAAAATATTATTCCAATTTACTAATTTTCCAAACAAAAAAAGGCTGACATATTTCAAGAAAACAAAAACAAATATAAACAAGAATATTATACATCACCGAATTTTGGAAACTTGCCTTATTCGTAGCATAGTCACTACTAGCCATTTTCAGTTTAGTTAATTAACTTTTTTATATTATTTGCTGAACATATGACCGGGTACCGAACACCACACCACACTAGGAGAGTTCTAAGGCGATTGTGTCGCCTTGTACTGTGAATACCGACTGAAAAGTGAATAAAATCGTGAGTTTTATCACAAGATTCATATCGTATTGAACTGATAAAGTCGATAGTAAAATTATTTTTGCAGAGAAATCAGTATGTTGTTATATATATAGAGAGATCGTTTAGGTATATTGTTTGAATCGAGTTTTGTTATAAATAGCACAAAAAAGGCCTTTGCCCTGCAGTGGGATGGCCACGGCTGAAAAAAAACATACAAATAGATTGTCAGGTATTTTTTTTAAAATCATGTAATGTTTAATTATATGTATATTATGTTTGTATGATGTAATTTTAAATAATGAAGTTATAAAAATAATTATGTTATCTTTCTTAAAAATTCAATTACAAATTTAAGTTAATCTATTCTAGTAATTCTGTTTGCCGAAATTTCTACCCTCACTGAATTTGAGCTAGACAATTCTCTAAATCACACATACAGTTGTTCGCTATGGTATGTTTGTACCAAGTGTACCTAATACCTATAAAACTCAAGTTAAATAAGTAAGACCTAGGTTTCTGTTCAGGCATGGTATAGAGAATGTTTCGGGTATTGACTGAAAGCCTGCCTCTCTGGAGCGTTTTATAATATAAGCAATAGATGTCGTTCGCTGTATATAATTAAATACTGACTACTCTTTATGATAACATACATTCATAATCCAAAAAAAATCAGGTTACGACGACGAAACCTAAGTCGTTAATCTCATAAATAAGAATACAAGCTTAACTTGTACCACTTATAAATTTTATCTTATTAATCTTTGAATTTCGTCTATTTCTACACAAGAATGAAAAACGATTATTATATTTCTTCAATGACAATTAGGAAAATACGGTCTCGGCGGCTCCCACGACTCGAGACACGGCCGATGAGTCCACAACTCCTGAATATGGTTTTTTATGGCATAAGCTGGCAAAAAAGGAGACGGATCACCTGATGGTAAGTACCCGGCGGCGTCGCCCATGGACACCTGGAACACCAAGGCATTACAAGCGCGTTACCGGCCTTTTGGGAATTGGAAATTTCAGGATTGAGGATTCGGGGATTGGGGGGACTGGGGAGGGGGGCAACCTCACTCACACGACGAAACACAACGCAAGCATTGTTTCACGTCGGTTTTCTGTGAGGCCGTGGTATCACTCGAGTCAAACCGGCCCATTCGTGCCGAAGAATAGGTCTCTCACACTCGAAAATTGGTCTGGTCCATGTAGAAGCGAAACATATTATGTCGAGAGTGATTTGAGTGGTTTGTTGCGTGTCGTATGTAGATATTTTTGTGTCGCAGCTCTGCTGCATAAGCGTTTACTGGCGAGCAGGAGCGCGGTGCTGCATACTGCATGCTGCAAATTCATTCCTTTAGCAGAATAAAAACTAAATATTTTCCTAGTTGTTACTGAACCATGGATTTCCGCATAGTAACGCCTGATTCTATTCTATATATAATGTTTTCAATTATATAGACAGAAAATAGAAACTTCATCATCATTAATGGCCCACAGGTTTCTGTTCTTTGAGTCTATGTTACATACAAGAGTTTCTCTACGCTTGGAAGGCGGGCTAGATATGGCAAAACAAAGGTCTAATTTTGAATTCCTTTAATTGGAATTGGAAAGAGTATAATTATTAGTAGATTATATATACATAACATTATATATATAGTAGTTATAATAATGTATTCTAACTGTACCTTGTTAAGTCACAAAATTGATTGTTTATAGCATAGGATACCTTCGGACCACAGGAGAAACAAGTTGAGAAAATACTCTCATATCTTAGTGTACCTTCTGCGCATTATTCTTTCTCTGACATAATGCCGAATATCAGATAATCGAGAACTTATCTCAGATAAAAAAATAATAAAGTGAATAGTGAATCAATATTATAATACTATCTTATCTTCAGACATAGTGTATACACAGGAAATCTCTTGTGAAAGCATCATTAAAAAGACCTTATTTATTTTTGATTGGTCGCCCGATGTAATTGGATTTTATTTGTGTAAATAATGAATTAGTATAATATCAATATTTAATTGTTTTCCTTTCATTCAGTAATTTAGAGGCGAGCTAAAAAATTCGTTTATAATACATTTATTATTTATCTATTTTGTACTTACAATTTACAAAACTATTTAATTTTGTTTGCTCCAAAACAAACAAGAACGAAATAATACTATACTATACGCAAAAAAAGTATCCTCAAATGTAAACAAAACACCGAAAGTTTTAAGATACAGTAACCAAAAATTAATGAGGCAAGAAACAGCCCTGTAACAAATTCGATTAAACGTCAATAGGTCCCCATTAATACTGAGAGCAAGTTTGAACCTGTTCACTCGGTGATCCAATAATGGCAGCGAAACTGCTTCACTTGTAAACTCCCGGCTAATGTATTCCTAAACCGGTGTCTTAGTTCTGTAATCGCCAATAAAGTAATTACGTAAACTTTGTGCGGACGCGAAAATCGGGAAGTGTTCCAAAACTTAATCCCTTCAAACAAGGGAATAATCGTTCTCATTAAAATGTAAATGCGTCGGATTGTGACGAGAGCTTCAATGGAGTCGCCCGAGTTTTCCTTCGATACGCTTTTCCGCTTTTCAAATAATATTATGCAGGAGTCGGTATTATTCTCGGAACTAACGGCCAACTTCTTGCCCACATACTTTATGTTTACCAAGGAACAGCGGAATACTTGGAGTTATTTTCTTCTTCATTACAGTTCGACGTTTTGCGATAACTCTATAATGTAATTGAACTACTAATAACTCAGAGTGAGGTTTATTTTTTATAGCTAGACTGGTAAACGAACAGGTGCATGACCTGATGGTAAGCAATCAATTGATGCTTCTTCTGACATACCACATCCTACATTAGAAAAGTTACAAGTGCCTTGCTGACCTCTTGACGATTGAGGATTTGTACATTGGGGATGGGGGCAGGACTTTGCGGTTGGGAGTTCTAGAACAGATCTATTATAGAGGACTTGATGCCCCACATAAGTGATGATGGTGGCCACCGGGGTTGGTTTTAATGAGGTAGGAATCCCACACTCCCTGGTTTTATTCTCCCTAAAAAAGTTAGGCGACATTTGAAGGTTGCCTCCGTTATCAAAAAAAAAAAAATTATGAATATTTGGTGATTGTTCCGAAAAAGTTTTACTTTCGATATCTCTAAAGTTCAAATAATAACAAGAGTTATGTCATGACGTCAATAAATATATCATAGTATGCTTAAAGGACATTTTAGACGGAGTTCATCAGAGGTCACGCTAGTTAGTGTAACTGGAACCGTGTGTTCTGTGTTGTCGTATCATTGCTTAGTTTGCCCACAAAACTTTGGTAGTTATGAATTTGATGCAGTACACTCTGTACTGGTATTGTTGTGTGGAATGTTGTCTTGTTGGGTTTCGAGTTGTGATATTTGGTGTTGAAATGAAAATAGTTGATAACATATTTTTATTTCTGTAGACGATCGTTTTTTTTTTTAATATGTCTTCCTTGCATTTTTAATGAATTTTTTTTTGTCGTCTTTTTGTGATACGAAGAAGAAATACAATTAGAGCTTTAGCTCTACTCCCACAGAATACAATAGCCAGTGGAAATGGACGTCTTGTCGTCTAATAGCGATGATGGTATAAGTTACTGGTTCGCTATTCTTCTGACTTCTGAGCAAGTAGTTCGATTACTGGACTGAGCAAAGTGTTAATGAGGTTCATTTAAAATCTATCGTTTATATCAGTGCTATAAATGAGAGATTTATGGACAGTTTATGGCAGAAGATTCACTCCCTATCACACAGGAAAAGTCTGAGATAATAACTTATGGACAGTATATGGCAGAAGATTCACTCCATATCACACAGGACTCACAATAGACAAAAATGACTGTTAGAATATTTATGGGCATTTGTCCTATCCATATGAGGATTAATAGCAACAAAATAACACCATGTAACACAAGTAAAACAATAACAAAAATGGCTTATATTTGCAAGAACCCTGCTATTACGAGTAACGTCAATCACCCCTCACTCTGTAATAGAAGGGATACGCGAAAAACACGGTACACAGAATAACATTATGACAATGTCAATTATTGTTACACTGCCAATTTCATCTCAAAAGCTCCTATCATATTACTCGTGTAGTATTTTATTTCCAATTATTGATTTAAAGATTGTTTTTTTTTGTTGTGGATTTTGTGTTAAGTCTTGAAGTCGAAGTAAAAGTGTGGTTTCGACAGAGTAGACATTGAGGGAAGTGTGAAACTATAGTTTTTTCTTCTCCTCTTATAATAAAAACTTCTGATTCACTTCGTTGCGGGAACCAAGACAGTTATATACCCCTGGGACGCGCCGGACTTAATTATTCTGATGTTTTCATGGTTGTATCTACTGTAGATCCTGGCTAACAGGAGTTGCAGTTTTGGGAGTTTGTGGCGGGCTTGTCCCTATAAAAAAAATTAAAAGTAATGTGAAAAAGACTCTGACTACCTCTGTGGTCGCAAGTGCAACTGCTGGGCTAGGCGTCTCGAGTTCGATTCCCGGGTCGAGCAAAATATTACTGAGATTTTTACAGAAAAAATCTCAGTAATAGCACGGAGTCTAGAATTGTGCCAGGTATTGGGAATAGGCTCATCCCCTATTTCATGAGACTTGTAGAAATGAAACGACCGTAGATGGTAACGAACTGTCAAATTTTTATTTTATGCATAGATTAAACATAATATAGTACCCAAAGCCTCTACTAGATGGCACCACATTTATATTTATTTTGTTAGAATACGACAAGACTCATAACATAAATAGTCAAAAAGTGGATGGTACATTGTACAGTGGCATTAAGTGCCGTAATGTGCACCTCTGCCTACGCTCTTTCGGGTACAAGGCCTGATGTTATGTAAAGTAAATAAATATAACAATAAAATTGTTCTAATTTTTATGTAGTCTACAAACTTCAAAAGTTTTATTAAATTAATCTTACAATCGATATGTTGATTCAAG